ATCTGAATCTGAATCATACTTACTTTGCAGGCCTTGGCCGGGAAGAAGATATGCGGTCCATAAATGACAAACATTCCGTGTTCGTTTTTGAAAGTAATGCAAACATTTCCGAGCACGTTTGAGAAAAGGGATTTTACTGTTCGTTATTTTTACAAATTTGCATTTTCAAGAAAGAAATGACGTTTGTTATGTATGCCAATTTCGATGTTGCATTAGTTTTTTTGTATTCCTATTATTTTTCCTTCCTCCAAGACTTTAATCTTAGACTACAGATTTTCCATCCTCTAGGACTTTAATATGTCAATTATATCCTAAGCGCTCTTTTTAGTTTTGAATCAAAATTCTATTGTCTATGGTACTCGCCACTAAGCTGAATGATTTTAGAGGATGAAAAAAAAAATAGTCTAAGTGAATAATACACAAAACAGAATTAAGTTAAAAAAAAGAACGTCGTATTATTGCTAATTAAAATATCAATTAGGTCAGGGCGCTACTCAAACAAACGCTATACTGCGTCCTGATTGGTTAAATTGGCCCAAAAGTCCTGCAACAGGGCCACTAATCATTACAAAAAAAATATTGGTTAAAATATTTAATAAGCGGTACTTAGCTAGTTCCATTCTATCTCTTTACTTTTTCATTTGGCTTTCGTCTAAATATATGAAGAAACTGTACGGTGGAACCTTTGCCTACCCTAATAAATGGGTTTAAATTTATTTTATAAAAATTGCGATAGTTGTCATGGATTGTTAACAAAATAGGTAATCCATTGGTTCTGTTTCATAATTTTAAACGGCACTCGACTTTAAAAACTCTCATTATGAAACGATTGCATAAAATACTATTGATCAAAATTGAATATAAATTTTTAGGCTATAATCATTGACTTACAAATAAATGGACGACGGGTAGACCCGTCACATACAAAAACCACGAAAAAAATGTCCCAAGTCAACCTATTTAAACGTAGTGACATGTAAAGGAATATGAAAAAGCTAAAACGTTGAATTTAAATTGTAATGTCATCGCAGTACTGTCTAATTTTGCTTGTTTCGTTGTCAGTGGAACAAACGAAGACTAAAGCGTGAATAACGCTCTGTATACGATTTTAACGCCCTATAAGTTCGGACACTTTTTAGCGCGGACCCGACGTCCATATAATTCTAAGTCAATGGCTATAATGCATTATAATACTGAGAATGCAAGGTGGCTAGATGTCCGGGAATATATAAAAACGAATAATTTTAACTTCTTTTTCATTATTGAATACGTTTACTTAACTGCCTCCGTGGCCGAACGGTTACCATGCTGATCTGCCACGCAGAATTCCCGGGTTCAATTCCCGGGCCGGGAGAAACATTTGCATGGCCTGCATTTATTTCTCTCGCAAGACAACCTCAAGTTGCACCCAGCAACTTGAGGTTGTCTATGTGTGTGTACATGGCACCCACGATACAGGGTCTCCCTAGTGCGGGGCTATGAGTATATGCGTTAAAAAATCACCGTAGGGATTTTTGACACCATCTCCTCATCCTTTGTTTGTGCGAAGAAAATTGAAATTGAATTAAAATGATATAAGAAACAAAACAAAAACAAACAAAACAAATCTTATATTGTTTGCGTATAAACTCAGTCTGTTGCGGACTTCTATGCGGCTAATACATAATGGGGAGTCGAATGTAGAGTCCGTGCGGGGTATATGCGGGGAGACGCGGGGCACTAGCGGGCAGCTCTAATGGCTTCCATTACGTCGCCCGCCACCTGCGCTAATGGTTCAGAAATATTTAATTGATGAGGGCTGTACAGATTTCACGTATAACATTTTTCATTAATCCAGTTGTCTCGCCTGTCGTTTGAGTTTTTACTAAACTGCTTTGATATCATTAATTATTCATTACCAAGTAAAATTTTTGATTAGGTATTTGAACTTAAATAAAAATTTCACTTATGTAAACTTTAACCGTTTGTGAATAAGTAAAACACAACTGTAGTGGACAAATCTTGCTTTAGCACTGGATTTTGCAAGTATCTTACCCTGCATCACCATCATCATCATCAAACCTTTTATACGTTCCACTGCTGGGCTCGGGTCTCCTCTCCGGCGAGGTTTAAGGCCATAGTCCGCCACACTAACTAAATGCGGACTTCACACGTTTTCCGAGGGTTGTGAACCTTCTTTGACGTGCAGGTTTCATCGCGATATTTTCCTTCACTGAACAGCTCATGGTAAATTTCAATTTAAAGTTCGCACATAAATTCCGAAAAACTCAAAGTTGCGAGTATGGATTCAAATCTACGGGGTCTGCTTGAGAGGCGTACATAATTTTGTTGTACACGTAGGCCAACGGGCCTACGTGTACAACAAAACGTGAAACACACAGAGAGCGGGTGCGGGTCGGGCGCTTGTCGACTCTGGAGTGCGACGGGTCTAATTCCATGTATTTATGTTGACGACAATACACCACTCGCGCGCGCGGGACAGACGTTTTATGCTTTATTTTTGTGTCACTCAGATCTTCAGGAAGAAATTTCTTTTTAACTGACCTCAAAAAAGGAGGAAGTTCTCAATTCGACTGTATGTTCTTTATTCTTTTTTTTGTATGTATGTTACGCGATAACTCCGGTATTTGTGAACCGATTTTCATGATTCTTTTTTTGTTGAAAAAGAGGTACTTCTATAGTGGTCCTAAATAGGACCACTATAGAAGTACCCCTTCTTACAAAATGAAATCATTTTGAAGAAAATTATCCACCTCGAAGGGTGGCTGCTCACGCATGAAGATTCATTTTTATAAATAGCGCCTAACTTTAATTTAGGAGCAATTACTTTAATGGTTGATTTTGCTATTTCTCCAATTCAAGGCGTTTTTCTCTCAATATACTTTGAGTATTTTTGTTATCTCCAGTGTTATCTCAAGTCCTGTATAGTGGCGAACTAGGGGTATTTCAATAAAACTTAGCAAATAGACGTAATTCCACGTACTTTTACTACGATTATTAAATAAGCAGAATCTTTTAGTTGTGTTTCCATTTTGTAAAATATTTTTTTTATATTTGTGTTTTTTCCTGAACTACTGACAAGTAAATAAATAAATGTAAACTTGCAAAATTAAGGATGGTAACAAACAAAGATAAATATTGGTTAATAATGATTGAAAAATAAATTGATTACAAGAACTACATTTAGATTTTTTTATCAACAACGCTGACTAATTTAAATTGTTCTTTATACTTGCCTCGTTTTTCCATGATGATTTACGGATGATATCACTATTGCAGAATCTGCACTCTGACCTTAATGCAAATTGCAAGACCTTCGCCACTTCTCGCTTTTACCTTTACGCGGCATGGTATAGAACGGGATCATAAGTCAGCAAGACCGAGAAGACTCAGAGAAAATGCTTCCTGTTGTGAAGACCCCATCTGTGGAAATGAAGTGTAAGAAGACCACTAAGCAAATAAACCGATCACATCGAGGAAACAGGAGGCCCAATTTCAATAAGGAAACCTCTACTCATAAAGTGGTACAAAATTGCAGAGGCAAATACTAAAAATAAAAATACCTGCCACTGAACAGCCCTTGCGTAAATAATGTGAACACTAAAATTATTATGATATCTTTTCTCGCCATGGATCTTTAAAGAATACCATACGAATACTAGGAAATAAAAAATACCAAAAGTGGACTGGATTTCTACTTACTTACTTCAATACGAATTGTAATATTACAATACGACGTATTGTACAAAACCGTCGTATGACTGTACTCTTCGTACGTGCGACCGGAAAACAATGACTGGTGTTCCGCAAATCAACAACTACGAGATAAACAGAAGAAACAAACAATTCATTTAGAATTCCGAATCCTAACTGTTTATGCGCGATCCGTCGAAAACAAATACAACACAACCGTTCTACTGATTAAATAAACCAAAAATGTTTACTCACTTTGCGTATAATCAAACAAACTGCTAGTGATACTATTAGCGGGAATCATTCCGAAAATTTTATTTCATATACATATAATGCAATTTACCTGACTAATGAGTTGTTGACCATTTTAACAACTTAAACACCATAATATGTATACTTAATTTCGTAAAGATTATAACATTAAGTTTATTGAATACCATGATATCTTACCACCTTGATATTCAATTATTTTTATGCAATTACTTCACTAGTTTGTTATAATTATTAATACAAAAATCGAATACAAAGAAAAATTCCTTCGATCCGGCTGGATTTGAACCAGGGACCTCGCTATATAGCTGACGCTCTCCCAACTGAGCTACACAACGAAATCAACGAACCTTACGAATTTCTCTATGTGCTTGTTGCAGAACTTTGTGTTTTGGTAAAGATTCTCTGCCAAATTACAGGTAAATAATGAAGTATTAGCGACAAACCAAAGCATGGTTGGTAGGTTAGTACATATGTTATGAAAACCTTTGTATAAATATAATCCGCTCTAAAAGAAACGGTAACCATCGCTATGAAAACCACGTCGGTGATAGCGCCAAAATTCCATGCCCAACCACTCTTACCATCTCTAGGAGTATTTGGATACTCGGAGTCGACATCACGAAAGAAGTCCAGTTCCGGGGTCATTTGGAGAGTAAAACCAAAGTGGTTTCAAAAAAGCTCGGAGTGTTCAATAGAGATATAGAGATACTTCACACCTGGCCACCGCACCGGGTTGTACAAAGCACAGTATGACCCCATAATGGAGTATTGCTCGCATCTCTGGACTGGTGCCACCGTCAGGTTTCCACTATGGCTCCTTCCGCCAAAGGAATGGATCTCCACATCATTGATACCTGGCATTGTAAAACCACGCGGGCATCATATTTGTTGGAATGGTGGAATGGTCTCCCTGCTGAAGTATTTCCTTTGCGCTATAACATAGTGTCAATCGAAAATCAACTGGGCTCTCATAGCTGCTGTCCGGTAACTAACACGCGGCTAAACATAGGACTCCAGAGAGTTCGTTGCCCAGGATGGAGAGGCCCGAGATGGATGGCTCGTCTGGTGTTCCGCAAGCCTTACATTTGGAATCAGGGGACCGTCGTGTCTCCTTCTCGGGGAGAGGTTTCGCTGCGCGCGGCCAGCCGCTTGTGGAGGCGCACACGAGCAATAGCGTACGTCCACCTGCAGCGGAGAGGAGGAACACCCCGGGGGTTTGATGCGGCCGGGCTGCTCCCTTTCAGAGTTCTCTGCCCCCGCAGGGCCGGGGCATCTGTAAGCGAATTCCCTCGAGTAATAAAAAAAAGTTCCGATAAGTCGGACTCGTTAACTAATTTTAACTGTTTTTAAAAGACAATTTTGTGCTCTATTTTTTGCTATTTAAAATGGATATTTGACCATTTGTCACTAATCCGCGTTTTAGTTAGAGGGCGGTAGATAGGCTGGCAATGCGTAGGCAGCTCATCTGATGTTGTAGATGTCCATGGAAGACGATGACTGCCTCCCATTAATTGCCTCCTACTTTACATAAACAAGAGGAACCGGATATGGATACAAACATTTTGTTCACTATGGATATCCACAAATACGGAGTGGTTAGTTAACGTCCAGTTAAAAGTTTCTAGGTAAGCGCATCCCAAGCTATGCAAAAGTTAAATGGAGCCTCGCAACAATGACAACGTGGGGTAGCAACTCTATTTTCGTAACAATAACAGTTTGGTGGTTAAATTATTAAATGAGTTCTTATTAATTGCAGTATTCCGACCCATTGTGTTTGCGTTGGGATTTACCGGACGCCGCCGGACGTTTTACGCCCGGACTCCTAGCACAGTAGACGCCAGAGCACAAGTACGTGATATAACATTATTATTTCTTGCATGTCACACTTTAGCATTACACAACAACGGCACATACATATTTTAGTTTATATTATGTGCAAACCTACTTGTCGTATGTATGATCAATGACACGGACTTTATTATACATATATGATCCAAGATATACAAGGTGTAATTGTTAAGTGTGCCCAGGCGATTATTCCGTCAATATTCTTGTATACGACAATGTGTCCGAAAAAAGCAATTGCTACAAATATGTTCTTGAAATTAGTGTGGTCGTTGCTGAGAAGGGCCGGTGATAACAGCTTAATACGTGAAATTTTAGAAGAATACCGTTTAAATAACTAAAAACACCTCATTGCTGTTGTCGCTTTAGCAATAAATGATTCCAGTAAGTATATAAGTGCCCAACCTTGGTGACTTACTTATGTTTTATCAAAAAGTTATTCACACCGTGCCAAAGAAAGTCTTGCTTTAATTGCGCAGAAGTAAGGTATTTAATGACTTCTGCTTCTGGTGCGAAACTGACTGAATGCGAAATTAACCCATGCTAAACAGGTTAATTATCACCGCAAAACAATTTTGATAGTATACATCTATACAGGATGAAACCGAAAGGTGTAGCGATATTTCAGTTAACGGAAATAAATAAATATACAAAGTTAACTAATTTTACTTCCCACTCTTATTTATGAAAATTCCATGTCATAAAATTTCAATCAACTGATATCACTAATCTTTAGGTACACACACTCTACAGCTCTAGCCCGACGTCTGACCACAGCCACAATGCGGTAAATCACCACTGATTTGCAATTGTGTACACTATTAAATAAATAAAATTATCTATTTCTTTCTAACGTATGCAGAGAGCACGACAATAGATCGATAAAAGGCGTATTCGACAATCGTCGAACTCACCTCTGTAACTATGCTGAAATTGTAATAATTTTAATTGCGGATACTAGTTTTATTTTATTTGCAACTACGAATGAAAAAATTAAATTTCTTTATTTCATTGATTACTTGATGTACGAAATAAAGATATCGTTAATAATGCGTCCGTGTCTCCGAGACATATGTTTTACCAGAATGCAAAAGATTGTAAGTAACATCTGTAACATAGAAACGAAATGCTAAAATATACCAGTTTCACCCTGTCGACAATGAAACCAAAGCGATATCTCCAATATACCCTACGCCAACTTTGTTTTCAAACAGACATATTTATTTACTAATATTATGCTCCCTGAATTTTGTGAAGAAAAAATAAAGAAACAAAATTCGAAAATAAAAACAAAAAAAAGAATTTTATGAAAAAAAAGAAACAAAAAACAAAATAAAACAGAACAGGTCGAAAAATTCACACACGGCGACTTTTAGCAGCGATGTAAACCCCATGCAGTAGCGATGCAGTCGCTAATCGTCTACCTTTACAAACACGCGCAATTTTAAGCAGCGATGCAAGCGCGCGACTGTATCGATACAAACGCGCGAAAGCGTCGATGCAATTGCCTATAAACCCAAGTGTAGCGATGAGTAGCGGTACAGTCGCGCTTTTGTATCGATGCAACCGTGCGTTTGCATCGACGCAATCGCCTATAAATCGCAAGAACGCGCGTTTACATCGCTGCTAGATCGCCGTGTGTAACCACTATAATGTCTTGTGATAACAAACAAATCAACTGTATGCGGTAAATATTACACAGATTTTTTATCATAATGCTGGCTATTCTTTTATTTTGTATATGATTATCGCCATCTACCCATAT